GTTTTGCGTTTCTAACACCAGAGTGGATGTTTTTAGACAATGTCGTTTTACGGTTTCAACTGCTTTTTGTCGCCATAGTGCAGCACAATTTGAGTGTCTACCAATAAAATGCATGCATTTGCCTCGCTAACTCAAGAACAAGCTAAACAAGTCCAGTACACTATACTAAACAGTTGGCTTGGTTTTAGGTCACACCGCTTCAGGTATACAAATACGCATGCAGGGCTTGATACAGGGCTTGTTAATGGTGTACCATTCGCTGAAAACTCTGAGCTATTAATTTTCCAGGCTAAAAATTATTTTGTGGCTAATGTGCCACCAACAAAAGAGTTTAATAGATTAGAGTCATTGCAGGATGCGTAAGGTTAACAGGGCTGGTAGAACAGTAGCACAGAAAAGGGTGTGTAGTCGTCTTGTTTTAATCATGTAATAAAGATGACTTGAATTGGCTGATTTAAGTCAAGTCACCTTTATTTATATAGCGCTTTTAACAATACAGATTGTGTCACAATATCAAATATAGGAAAATAGTGTGTCAGTGCAAAAGGACAATAGTAAACACTCTATTTTCAGTTAAAGGCAGTTTATCATTGAATTCAGTGATGTCATCGTCCAGCTCAGTTCAGTTTAAATAGTATCTGTGCAATCAAGTCGACAATATCGCTGGAAATGAAGTGTCCCCAACTAAGCAAGCCAGAGGCGACAGCGGCAAGGAACCAAAACTCCATCGGTGACAGAATGGAGAAAAAACCTTGGGAGAAACCAGGCTCAGTCGGGGGGCCAGTTCTCCTCTGGCCAGACGAAACCACCAGGTTGATCCATGCTTTAGCAAAGTTAGATTGTGCAGGTAGACATTCACCTAATAGAGAAAAAAGAAATTGTGAATTGTGTAATCATGTATTCCACACATTGGGCCTTGGCATTATAGCAATGGATATGATGCTGACATTTGTGCAATAAAATAAAAACAGACTTTGAGGACATTCAAGTGGTTCAAGGGGAGATCTTTAATAAGTCAAATTGATGAGTGAAGGAAAAGTGTGACTTCAAAGCCAAGGCCTGTGTACTGGACACTACTCCAACATCTGCTGTAGCACAGAACAATTCAGTAAACTGAAGAGGATTGAAGTATTTCCTGTCAGCATCCTCTGGTTGCCTTTTTTGCTGCTACTTCACTGGGTTCAGCATGGCTGTAAGGACATGTTGGTTGGTTGGTTGGCAGAGAGCTGATGATGATGGATATGTGAATATGTATTTGTCTACATCTTTTAATGTTCACGTTCAGCATCTGTACAAGACTTTTAATTTCTCTCTTCACCTTGTCAGTAATAACCTGTCTCCCAACATCTGTTAAATGAGAATATATGACTTCACACAGGTGCTGAATATCTGATTGTTTACAAACACTGATGTGTAGAGTTTGTCTTGATGTTGGTGATGAGAAAGGACAAGCAAAGTTTGTGTGAAGATGTGCGTTTACCGACTTTAAGTGTATGTGCCCTGAATGATTTTTTGAATGACAAAGACAGGTGTTCAATCTATGTATCAGAGTGTATGGCAATGATTAAATATGTTTTGAGTTTTTATTTGCACTGGAGCTATCAGCATCTTTTGTTAAAATGGAATATATTTAAGAAACAACTGTGGGATGAGAATTTCATTTTGAGTTTTAAGGCCTTTGACATATAATTAAAGAAACATCCAGTGATGGAACAAGAAAGGAGGCTAGTCGAGACCACAAATGCATGATCTGTACGACATAAATTAAGGGTGTGTGCGTTTGACATAAATCTAATAGGGTCCTGCTATGAGAGCAAGAGATGGCTGGAGAGCATGGGGAACTTTTTATTCTTCCTTGGATCATCTCCATATATTCTGCCAGCCTCCGCCTTAGACTCCTCCCTCTCTGACCAAATCTCCAGCATTTTAGCAGCAATCTCAGACGGGGGTAATTGGGTCTTAAAAAACCAACTTGTGCTATAGCTATGAAGGATTGGTCTTAATTATGGGGAGATTTATTTGGGCCTATTACCTTATAATGGATTATAGCTCGCAAACTTAATGCCTCTGGTCATCAATCACATCCACGTGCAAAGATATACCAAAGGTATTTTATATAGCTTTTAGAAATGTTATTATTGCATTTAGGGTCAAGTCATTTCACACCAGAATATGAAAGCTTAAAGATTTCATTTCAGAGAATTCATTAGGAACAATTAATGGGTTTTATAAAACCCTTTATGTTTAACAGGGTCTGATTGCTTTTATTAAAGGGAGGGAAAAGATCGCTTAATCTTGAGTTGTGTTAAAGAAATCGTGTTTTGTGAAACGTATTAAATCTATAATTTAATTTAAATATATAATTTCTCTTTGTCAGTGTACAGAAACTCCTACTTCAGTAGCACTTCCATAAATTTGAGAGTTTTATTCCTATCCATATTCTGAAGGTTTTTACAGATGGGTTTGCTCATGTATAATTAATTATACAACATTTTATTCATAAAAAATTGAGTGATAAAAGGGATATCCTGCATCCCCTCTGTAAAAACCTTTGACTCTAATATGTCTACAAAATGAAACAAGAATTATGAACCTAGCTATATCCAATGTACAGATTTTTGTTCTGGAAATGTATACAAATTCGAGCATATTTAATTATATTATGTGCAATTTGCATATTTAAACACTTCAGAAAACTTGAAATACAACAAATGTTAGCCATTCTTAATGTAATTACGGTAGTTACTTTTTTTTTTTACCCTTATTCACCTGGGGTGTTTTTTTTTTGTTTTGTTTTTTTGTCACATAACCTGATTTTCCACACATCTGAATAGATAGATAGATAAATTTGACAGTAACATGATTACAGTTAACTTAATTTCTAAATAAAAATCAACAGCCGCTGTTCTGTCGATTTGTCTACCCTGTCAGATTGTGTTACCTCGACAACGAAAAATGCTACCTGTAAAATTATGGTTCATTAACGTCTACACCTACCCCAACCCTAAACCTACCCTTACAGTAAGGCAAATACAGTAATTATGTGTTATATTCGCGATTGTAGCTATAATGGATACAGCTACAGGAAACCAACAATAAATAATTTTTTTCTACCTATTAGATTGTGTTTTATTAAAGTCTACACCTACCCCAACCCTAAACCTACCCTTACAGTAATGCGGATACAACGCAATATTGATGTGCGCATGCGCAGTAAACCCTGGTAGGACAATCTGAGGGGTAGGATAAAATGTCAGGACACCGCATATAAAGATGAACAGAGAAATTCGTTTACTACTTCTTTAGAAGACCAAGTGTGCCTCCCTGTGGAGGTTTTTTGACACAACTTGACACAACTAGAAAGAACTTTTGTATCAGTTTTAATATGCAGCATTTATAAACCAAGACCTCTGTTATTACAAGATAAGAGTCTAACTGAATCATTGATATTGGAAAATACACATATTGGTATTATCTCACTGGCTAATAGTGCACTATAATAGCGTGGTTAAATGGATACATGATCAAAAGAAAGAAATGTTCACCATCTGCTGGCCAATACTTGGAAATGCAACACATGCTTCCTAGATAATAGTATACAGAACACAGCTTTAAAGCTGTAGCTAAAAATCTATGTCTACATCTTTTAATGTTCACGCAGTATTTGTACAAGATTTTTTTTATCTCTCTTCACCTTGTCAGTAATAACATGTCTCCCAATATATGTTAAATGAGAAATATGACATGATACAGGTGCACATGTCTACATTACACGGTCACTATAGTTGAATACTTTTCTGAATGTTTCACTTCTGAAGATTCCTATGCAGCTTGAGAAATTTGTCTGTTTTAGTAGGCTAATTTTGTAATTTATCTGATATCATTATACTGTTTTTACTGTTTGAAGTGTATGTTATGCCCCTGTTCAAATATGAAATGTTATTAGATTTAAAAGTATGAGTGTTTCCACAATTATTGTGTAATAAGAACATAATAAAGCATTTCAACTAACAAATAAAAATAATTATCTACTTATTTTAAGCCATTTTTAGTACGATACTCAGGGGAACAGAATGAAACCAAAGGGATTCCGCTGCACTTTCACACACTAACATTCTTTAATAGAATGCAGCCTTACCAGATGTTCTTTCAATACATTCTTCTGACTTTTTACGTCTGTATGAAATAGCATAATGCTCTCTTAACCAGTTCTAACATGGGTCTGTCTGAATGTCTGAATCAAGTCCTGAATCAAATTCCAGAACAAGCTTTTTGGAACATTCTTTCGCCAAAAAAAAAAACCAGGACTCACTCATGAATAATCATCCTTATTCCTTATCTTCAACCTCCAGTCCAGACCTTCACAGGCGGCAGCAGGAGAGGTAAAGGCAACAAGAATCCAATGCCTGCATCACATCCTGTCTACTAAGATGCAATCATTTGGTTGAATTCTGAAGGAATCATAAACAATATCTGCCTGTACCTATAATAGCCCATAAATAAAAATAAAAATTGCATTTGAAGGAGCGGTTAATTACACATTGCAGTCACTAAATAATGTGCATGGTAAGCACAAAAAGCTCATATGGATTTGTTCTAGAATCTAGCTAATTAAAAATGGAGTTCTGGTGACTGAGAGAGCTGGTTTCAGACACACACCCAGAGAGAGCGGTCACAGATCACACCTCTCCTGACCTCACCCTTTCCTCCACCTGTAAAGGTGAAGCTGCACTTTCACTTTCTACTTCACAGGACCTCAAGAGCATGGCCTTCACGAACCTCAACTTGTGTCTTCTGATTATATGCAGATAGATATTAGTTTTACAAAAAAAAAAAAAAGATTTATTTTCTTTAATGGATTATGTAAATATTTGCCTTCGGTCTATAGCGTAATGCACAGATCTGCTGAAACATATATAAAATGAATCTGTTTCCCTCAAGAAGTCTTTTGACATTTCCCCATGTTACAAAACCATTAGCTAGCTGACACATCGCACTTATTGAGCAATCTCCTTCAGCTGTTTGGGTAACAGGAAGTGACGAAGCTGCACTAGAATCAGGTCGGCGGATTGTTGGAGAACACTAGCGACATCTCAGTAAGAGTCACACATCTGCTCATCCCTGTCTGTCACCCAGGGAGCTTGTTCTGATCACCTGAGCCTATTTTATAAACGGACAGACTTCGGACCAAACAGAAGAATTCCTTCAGGGGTACTATTACAAATAAAGAAACTCGACCTTATCTTTGAGATACTCAGCGGAGGTCCGAAAAAAGCAGCGGGATAAGGACATTTGTCTCCGTTACATAAGGTTGGTGAGTTTAAAGTTGGTTAAAGATGTTTCGTTTGGCTATGAAAAGGAGATGAAAAACATTTACAGTCAGTGTCTCAAAACCTAGTCAGCTGCCTACCCAGACAGCATCCTTGGCGCGCTCCCCTATAAGTTCAGTAACTGCGAAAATTTGATGGAAAATGATCAGTGCTACGTTCAGTTGTCAAATGATTTCTTTTATTTATGTGTGTAAACTGACGCATGCATGTGAAACGATTTGAAGCTGGCTTGACTTTCTATTAGTTTCTGCGTCTGATCACACCTGTAATCTTGTGTCAATCAAATGTCATATGAATCTGATAGGCTACGTGTGGTGGAGATTGTTTCCACGATTAGTTCTGATGGTGTTTATAGAAATTATACACAAACTTAAAGAGATCACATTGCCCTTCAATCACTTCCATGTAGAACAACATAAGGACTGGGAAAAATCTAGAAAATGATCTGAAGGCTGTTCATGCATGGCAGTGGACTCCTGTGTTTGTCGAAAGTAGCGTTACCTGAGGTCATCTCGGCTTTCACTTTTAGTAGGAAGTACTAGTGTTTCTCTTTCTTAAGCTCATCTGCTATATAACAGATGTGGTAGTTGAGCTAGCATTCTTATATTGAAAGAATGACAATGAGCTTGATTTGTTTCTTTAAATTAAATACATTGTTGATTTTTTTTGTGACCGAGGACCACAAAACCAGTCATAAGGGTAATTTTTTTGAAATTGAGATTTATCATCATCTGAAAGCTGAATAAATAAGCTTTTTGTTAGGTTAGGACAATACTTGGCCGAGATACAACTATTTGGAATCTGAGGGTGCAAAAAAAAAAAAAAAAATCAAAATATTGAGAGAATCGCCTGTAAAGTTGTCCAAATTAAATCCTTAGCAACGCATATTACTAATCAAAAAGTAAGTTTTTATATATTTACAGTAGGATATTTACAGAATATCTTAATGGAACATGATCTTTACTTAATATCCTAAAGATTTTTGGCATAAAAGAAAAATTTATCATTTTGACCCATACAGTGTATTTTTCGCTATTGCTACAAATATACCCCAGCGACTTATGACTGGTTTTGTGCTCCAGGGTGACATTTTGTGAACTATGGTCTGTTTGTCTTTGAGGTTTTGGTCTGCAATTTCAAACTAACACATTTTCATATTTAGGCATGCTTAATAAGGTCTCAGTTTCATTTATTATGAGATCCACAGTTGACAGCTAAATACATAATTCTTACATTTCAGTAGAGTGTAGTGTTGTGCATTAAGGACAGTAGCTAGTTTAGAATGGCTTTACTTAAAATGATATACTACCTTTCAAAATTAAAGTTGGAGAAAAGTTGTTAAATTCTTTTCACCTTAATCAGGGGGTAAAATAGATAACTGGGGTAGCATAAGTCAGTTTATTGATGCTATAAAATGGCGTAAGATGTGATGGCCTTCATTATCAAGTGAACCAACAAAATGTCCCTTTTGTTATCTGTGCTGTCAATGTGCCTCAAAGAGATCAATGCTTTCAAAGGTGCCCAGTGTAGGTTTTGCCTTTGTCACACACTTTTGCCAAATAATGATTTCCATTGTCCTAGGTAGCAGTGCCTCAACTGTTAGTCACATTGACAAACACATGCTCTGTCAAATAGTGTCTCCTCCTGAGTTCTCATAGAAGGAAAAATAAAAGAAAGCAAATGGCCACATTGGCAGATTGTATTGTAATTATAATGGCAACACCTGGCCAACAAATCCAGCTATTTAATCTGCTTATCTGCTCTTGCCTCCAAGCATCTCTGTAAACACACCTACATCCTGATCCTATCATACTCGCTTACTTTTAGGACCGTTCCTCATGTGCACCTCTTTACATGTAGAAGTCTAATTTAGCCTTTTAAACCACTGAACCAGTTTCCGCTAACAAAACTGGCTGAGCAGTGGTCAGATTTGGTGCAAGTTATTGCAGTCAAGTGATCTGCTGTGAGCTGAACTGACAGCCTCCTTTTAGTGCCACTATGAGAAGCCAGAAAACAAGCTCCAGAGAATTCAGCAGCCATTTCACATCTGTTCACACATTTGTGAGCTTGCCCTGACTGCTGTTTCATGACAAGTAGCTAAGGAATGTTCAACAGAGATTTGGAAGAAGATAGAAGAAAGATGATGATGATGATCAAGAGAGGACTGTTGCTTAAAATGTGTTTCCATGAAGAGGCTGTCTCAAAAAGGTTAACCAGATTGACTGGAGCTGTGAGTCAGGGATGTTGGCTGTGGGGCAGAAGGTGTGGTTTAAAAGAAAAGCACTTAATGATCTAGTGGTGGTTAAAGAGAGCAGATGAAATAGTGCCGGTGTATTGTGAGTATTAAGATTATGTCCTGTTACCAGTGAAAAGGAAATTTGCATCTGCTGCAGAAACTGGGTCATCAGTCACTGACAAAATTCTGCATATCTACCGCCCTTTTGTTTTGTCCATTCGGTAAATAATTTTTCTAATTTGATTGTGCTTTTAGTTACCAACAGCACGCTTCTCTTAACACAGGTTTCCAAATTTAAATCCATTCCACAGAATTCCTCAGATTATACCCTAAAATCAGCACATAAATAATAATAAAAAACAATCTTTTTTTTTTTCCACAGAAACAGATTTTCAAATTTAAATTGTCTTAATGGTTATAAGTGTTCCGTGTTTATTTTTTGTGTGTGCCATTTGTACAGTAGATGTTTCTTAGAGACTAAACATTGCCTAACATTGTTGTGAAATTTGAGTGTGCTGGACTGGCCTACAGGTATATGATATAACCTTCCTTTCTGTTGTTAAGCTCCAAGGTTTAAATAATGGCAATACAAATCATGTTGTGTTTTTCAGTGCCTTGGTAAGCGTTATTTATCCCTTTGAGCAGCGAGCAATGGACATTCATTTTGAACAAATGTTATCTTGCATTCAGCTAAAGGGAAATAAATGCAAACAGAGCATTGCGCAAAAGACTGAGTTGTTTTTGTTGTACATATTAAATTAAGGGTGGAATACATTGCCCCTATTTGCAGTCATTGATCATCTGTTTGAACTCTCATTCTGATGGCACCCATTCACTGCTCCATTGGTGAGCAAGTGATGTAATGCAAAATTTTTCAGAATCTGTAATAAACTCATCTGCATCTTGGATGGCATGAGAGTAAATTCATTTTGAGGAATTTTTATTTTTATTTTTGGGTGATCTACTCAACTATTGGGTGAACTAAATGTATTGATTTTAGGTTGTGTAGTTTATTCCAGCTATTACAATGCAGAGGAAAGCCAGTGCTATGCCATGATCACCTCTGAGCCTGTCCTGAAGGACACTGCAGATATAAATAACACCAGTGAGATCCAGCTGGAAAGCTACAGGAACTGGCTATTTGGTCCCTGATTGTTCCCGGAAGCAGTTGACATTTTGTTCTTCACGATAAGATGCTTCGATCTGAGATGATTCAAAGAAACCGGCTTTAAAAATGGCTTGTAGGTGTTAGGTGAAATATAGGTTATATACAGTAAATAGTGTGAGAACGTCTGTAAACTGATTTGAAAATGGTTTGTTTATTTTGTATATTTACCATTTTTGTATCTTATTTAGCTTGAACCAGAAAAGGATGGATTATGTCGATAAGAAGATTGTACAATATTCCCCAAAAGCAAACTGAAACGTTATATGGGTAACAAATACAATCATGAATCAGCCAGTTCCTGATAAATGCTTTTATGTATGAAATGTAAAGTGGAACCATACTTTCACATGATGCGTTGGTGTTTCGAGGTTGTCTGTCACAGTAGCCACCCACCCACATAACTACCAAAACACACCCTCTGTTTATTATCCCCTTTTACGTCTTCTTTAACTAGATCTCTCACTTCTTTTTCTTTCCAGGGCCACTGCTGAAAATTGATCCTCATCCAGAGGAGTGGAAACCCAAAACCTGAGCCATGGGGGATTATTACGAGATCCTGGGTGTGACACAAAATGCATCCCATGACGATATAAAGAAAGCGTAAGTACTCTGTGTCCTGTCATGGGCATCTATTTTTACACACGGGACATAGTAGAGCAGTAATGATAACAGTGATTGTGCAGCACAGGGGTTAGTTGATACTGTCCATGTGAGACTTCTCTGCTCTTTGCTCCTTGTCTCTATTAATGTGTGTTTGTCTCAATTCCTCGCTTCTGATGTTCTCTGTTTAAAACGAAAAAAAAAAACATCGGCCCTTCATTTTAATAACAAGGAGAAAGGGATTGGAGTTTGTGGGTAGACAGGGAGCATACAGCTTTTAGTGGTGTTTAGACACATTGGGTCCTTATACCCTATGCCTTATTCATCTACTGCCCCCCTGGAAAGGCTGTTTTGTCCTTTGTTTGTCAAGTAAGCAAATGTCTATTGAATCCTGATTCTGTAGGTCACTGAATTTGCTCATGGTAAAGGGGGGAATTTCTAAAGCACAGAGCTATGGAAGGCAAACACTAATAAAAGATGTGCAAAGGACAAATCCCCTAGTGTATGGAGTGTTTGGTTTAGGCCATTGACCCTGCTGTGTGCTGCTGGCTGGATGTGTATCGCTGACTCGGACCTAGTGTGTAGAGATGCTGACCTGTTGCTACACCTACAGAAGTCGTATTGTGCAGCATGACCTGTATTGAAAGTAGTTGTTCAGAGGTGCATGACTTTGTAATGCAGTGATGTGTTAGCATCATGAATGAGGACCGTGGAGTACTTTACAACGAAAAATGAGTCTCCTTGAACTGTCGATTTACATATTATGGGCCAGATTTACTGAACGGGGCAAATTAGCATTAGAGTGCATGCAATTCCATAAAAGCGCTGATGGGAGGGAAAATTCTGTGTGTGATTTACTGAAAATGCGCACATTTCCATAATGACCAGCGCAATCTACCAAGAGCAGCGCAAACTCCTACAAATGCATATTCAATAAGGTCAGGCACAAATATAACTGTGTCCATGGCTTTTCAGCACTAATTCTTCACTGCGCGTATTTAGTAAATCCTGACAATACAATTTTAACGCCAAAAGACTGTTTGCGCTGGTGCAAGCTGTTAGTAAATCTGGCCCTATGTCTTAAAACATGTTTAGCCTATAACAAAATAATTTTAAGTCTGTACTATACATGTGTAAAAAAAAATATTTTTACACTAAATACCACTTTTCTGCCATGAAGACAGGTTGATATATATATGAGTAGTCATGTTATATCACTCTATATCACCATGGCTGTGATTTGGCCATATGTACGAGGCCGTTTATACAATAGTTTGACGGCACAAGTGTTTTAAAAAATAAGAAACAACCACGGAGTGTCTTAACATTTTGTAAGCAGAACTACTTCCTTCCGCCATGGATTCAGATCTCAAGTTGGCATTGGCAGTTAATAGATGATAACAAATCATGCCTATGGCCGAATCACAGCCATGCTGATATATAGCGATATCACACAGGTACTTGTGTGATATTGCTCATATTTATTTTAGTTGACAGTGTATATTATTGTATATAATGACCCTCATATTTGCTGTACTTTTAAACTTGAAGGAATGTTGTCAGATATACTAAGAATGCCCTGTCTTTTGTGTTGTCTTTCCACACTTAAGAAATCTTGTTTTAATGAGGGTTTGGGTATGTGTGTTTTACAGGTACAGAAAAAAAGCACTGAAGTGGCATCCAGACAAAAACCCAAACAACAAAGAACAGGCAGACAAAATGTTCAAAGAGATCTCCGAGGCATATGAAGTCCTGTCAGATGGTACTACTATTTATATATATATATATATATTTAATTTAAATTTTTTTTTAATATGATGCCATGTTAATTTTTGAGAATTAATATATTTTAAATTACAATACTAACTTATTATACTAATATTAAAGAATTGTTGTGGAATGAATGTCCCATGCCATGAGATATTTACTTCATGCAGGTAAAAACAGCATAAAACATAAAAAGCTGTACCCAGATAGATCTATGATCAGTCTCATAAGGCTGTCAGTAGTTGAAAGCCTTAATTCATGAATGTTTTAAACATATTGAGGTATAGTGCTTGTCCTCAGAATAGGATGGAATTTGACAAAGGTCACACTGTGGATTACATCTTTACAAACCAAAATTTCTGTTAAAAAATGGCCAGTTACATTTGCCACATTTTTCTTTCATACAGAAAACAAACGGAGACAGTATGATAAATATGGTAAAGAAGGCCTATCTCATAGAGGTAAGTAAAGTTATTCCTGATTTATGTTATCGGTTGAAAATTTGGTTTTCCTCTAATCATTACTTGTTTAAAAGGAGGCCATTATGATGAGGATTTCATGGGTGGATTCACGTTCCGAAATCCAGATGATGTCTTCAGGGAATTCTTTGGAGGCCGAGATCCATTTGCAGATTTTGCAGGTTTCTTTGGTAGGTACATAAGTAAGTTAAACTGATTAAATAACAAAAAGTACACATGGAATAGAAAAAGAAGACCGTATAGAGTTTTTAATAGCAAAACCACGTTTAACCTGCATCATTTCTGAATAAAGAGGCTTTTGCCAGTGAAAACAGGAGTGTTAAAAATTAGAACTAAATTCCCAAAAAGAGGAAATGAAGGTCATTTAATCTCTCACAGAGTCTCTGTGACAGTAATGATGTGGTTTGAGTTATAATTAGGTTTTGCATGAAATTATTGGAGCTTGGGTTCATTAGATGATTAGCTTTCTGTTAATCTACCATAATTATTTTGTTCACTAAAAATGTGCTCTTAACATGGGTGTGTATTATGGGAAATTTTCACACTTTACTGAAAGGGCTGTTTTACATTTTATATGTCTGTATGTATACATTCAATAATTTTACACCTGTATAGAATTATTACGACTATACAACAATCACAGGATGTCAAGGACATAAAAGCACCATGAAAGTAGTCCATATGACTTGTTTGCTACATTCCAAGTCTTCTGAGGATTATCCATGAATAATGGCTTAATATAAATATCTTTTTAGAGCTTAACAGACTGCAGTCACTATAAATTGCCATAATTGTGGGGGGGGAGAAAAAGTATGTGTAGATTTAAAAAAAAAAAAAAAAAAAGTATTTCCACAGATAAAATAACAAAAGGTTTGGAGTGAAACAAGGCAGAGTAAACGATGGCTGAATTTTCATTTTTGGGTGAACTAATTTGATATGTTGAATAAGCTCTTAAAAGCATGAAAGCTGATATAGGAATTCATTAACTGGTGAAAATAGTGTTGTAGAGTTGATCACACATAACACATATTAGTCATCTGTGAAACACTAAAGTGCTGCCCACTGACTCTAACTGCTGGGAGCAAATGGCTGAACGGCATGTGTGTAAAACATACAGGCACTCTAAATATGGCGAGGGTCGCTCAGACCAGCAAGTGAGACGAGAAGAGACTGTGCATCATCCACTAGGAATGTTCTCAGAAATAGCTTCCGAATAAAAGAGCAGCAAGAGAAAGGGAATGGCTAATAGCTCGAGGCCGCTATGGAGAGAGAAAAATGTTTATGTGTGCATATATGTATGTTCCTCTGCGTTTCAAATTGGAATGTTTCAGGAAGACCATCCTTGACGATGGAAGGTCATTGATGTTTATTTGTTTATGTAGCCATGACAAGGTTGGGGGTGGGTTAGAATAACAGTCACACTGTGTGTGTGTGTGAAGATATCAGGTGTGGTTCTGCCTGCCAAATCAAACTGCTTGAAGGAGATTCAAAAGTTCATATGAAGGTGCTGAGTGTCTGAAAATGGAGAAGCATTGATCTAGACATGTTTCAGCAGGCATAATGCTACATTGCAACACTGGTCCTGAAATTATGTGGATGAATAAAAATAGACCTGTGAAGCCCCCATCAACCTAGTATTTCCATGAACCGAAAAGGGAAAAATAAAATGTGCAAATTTATTAAAAGCCTGAAACGGAAAACTTGTGGGTTTGATCTCTGCATGAAAGGATCAATGAGACATGAGCAATGCATGCGGCTCCAGGGAGTTTCTCTCTCTTATAACACACGTATTGTTTGACAGCCAGCTCTCAAGTTTAACCTTACTCTGAGTGGCAAAAGGCTAGAGTTGGCCAATAGATGGTATTTTGTGACTAAAACAAGCAGATAGATCAAACTGGTGACCTTTTTTAGCCAAGACCTTTTTGACTCGAAAGGTCCCCTAATGTCTAACACAATATTCTAAGGTCTCCCATATTGAGTAGGATATTTCATCTGGTATTTCTGCTGTGAATTGACAATGCTGCTTGTTTTCAAACATAAAAAAAAAAAAAACAGAAATCTGGAGTAGTTTTGATATTAATTTGTTCATGATATCATTATTATTTGCGTTTTAATTACGATTTTCTTTTCTTTTCTTTTTTTTAAAGTAATTAAACCATTTTATGTCACCCTTGGACTTTATATCAGGAGTCTCGTTTTTAATGGAAGAATAAAAGATGGCAGATTTCCCCCTTTCACTGTGTCCATGTTTAGATGTTGTAAATGCTTTCTTTAGTTCTGTAATGCAATATTATGCTGTTGGTGAATGTTTCAGTGGTCTGTCTGTCAAGCATGTAAATCTATTATCCAGTAGTTATGTTCAGTAGTAGATAAATTGTACTTGTGGGACCAATTTATTCGAACATATTTTACATGTACAGCCATGACATTGTTTTTCACTAAGCTCTTTTTTCTTTTGATTTAGCTGATGACCCCTTTGAAGATTTCTTCGGTGGGCGGCGTCACAGGGGTGTTAGCAGGAGCAGGACGACAGGTTCATTCTTTCCTGGGTTTTCTCCATTTGGTTCCCCCTTTTCTGGGTTTGACGCAGGTTTGTTAATGTGTGTGTGTGTAGCTAGTGAAAAATACATAATTGTGTATTTAAACCATCATCATCATCATTGTCATTTCTGTAGGTTTCACCCCGTTTGGCCCAATGGGTGGGGGGGGCTTCACCTCGTTTTCCTCCTCCTCATTTGGGGGTGGTGGTGGTGGAATGGGAAACTTCCGCTCTGTCTCTACATCCACCAAATTCATCAATGGAAAGAGGATCACCACCAAACGGTACCGAAAAACATTCTGTAACGGCCTCTAACTGTTTGAATAGTGATTCACAACTTCAAGCATATTACACAATACCGCTTTTGCATATTCTTCAGTCACTACATATCTATGCAAAAGGCTCATAAACTGATGCTTATTTGACTAAGCCTTAACTACTATCTATGGTAATAATTGTACAGTTAATGTCAGCTCACTCTACAGCTAACTTTTGTGTCATCACAGTATTGTAGAGAACGGTCAAGAGAGAGTGGAGGTTGAGGAGGACGGTCAGCTCAAATCTCTCACAGTCAATGGTAAGGTCCAACTTCTCCGACTGGACAAGTGATCTCTGAACTCTGCAGATGAACATTCAAAACATTTTAACCCAAACATTCCTAAACATAACCAACCCTCCCAACCAGGCTGATGGCTACTAAAACACCTGCTCTCCACCAGTCAGCAAGCCAAGAGTAGGTCACGTGATGCATCCATGTGATGTGAGCTTTTAGGTGGTGCTGTTACCCTCTGTGCAGTGAATCGCAGACCTAAACAGGGTGAACTCTCATTCCAATGTGTTTTTTTCTTTTCTTTTTTTGGGAGACGGGGACCATTTATTCCTCACAAAAACAGGAGACCTCAGTTTTAACAAGCGCACTTCATTCCTTTCCGTCAGCTGATGGCTGTTCTTTCATCCATAAGTGCTTATTGCCTGATTGAAACTGGAGCTTAACAGGTTGTTTCTGCTTTCTGCTGTAGAGCCATTCAACTGTTCAAATGTTGAAGTCTTAACCTCTACACTATGAAATATTTAATATGATCTAACCAATGTTAGGAGCCACCAGTTGTTTATAATATTAAGCTGTTTATAAAATACTTTATCATTTGGCTTCACACCAAACTGTTGCATAACCTGAGACCTTTCCATTATTAAGAATATATATTGTGTGACTTTATATGCTGGACATTTTGTTCTTTGTAAGACAAAAAGCGAAGATGGACAAAGTTTCAGGTTCAATAAATCTCACTTTCACCTGTTTGGAATGTTGCACTCACAGTTTCTTTGCGGTGGTTTTTAGAAAACGTGCCTATAATTTGTGTAGGTGTGTTTTTTTGCTTGGCTGATGTGTCTCATTACAGCACTTACAAAATTAAAATGAGTAAAACATTGCCTTTTAATCTGCTTTTACATCATCTTATTGTTTCCACTAGCTTCTAAAATATTCACACATGCATGTGCACATACTTAAGCGGGTTTATTTGGTTTGCTCTACAATGTTGATTTAAGGAAACACACAGATAAGATTTCACCTTTGATTAACTGCAAGTATATGTAATGATCACTTGCTCCTGCAGTCTTTGACAGCCATGATGTGATAAGCTCAAAGCCTCAGCAGATGTTCATTTATCCAAACCTTGTCCTTCTCATATTGATGTAAATAGCATCAATCCTCAAGACTGAGAACACATAAGCTAGCATTAACCCATAATGAATTATGATTATGTATTTTATAACCAAATCAGGAAATGCCAGGATGACAATTGGATCCTTTTGTAAATGTAAAGATTTAGCACTACAGACACTCTTTTTATGATGACCTTACACACACAGTGCAGGTGATTACAAGATGGGAACTGAGACGCAGCAAAGGTGTAATTGATTTCCTCTACACTTTTTTTTTTTTTTTTTTTCAAACAATTTATTCTACACTGGTCTTTGAAGCATTTTTAAGAATTTTGTTAAATTTTTAGATATAAATCAGTAATAAATAAAATATTTAATAAATACTGACCTCACTATTTTAAATAAACAAAGCTAATGATTCTTTTAAAATGCATTTGCGAGGCCCAAATGTCCTCACTATTATAATGAAATATCTTGTGCGTGTGTGTACCTGCTTAACCATATTTTGGGGACAAATTTGTACCCAGAAGTGAGCAAAACCCTGACAAAATCGCCAAAAACCTCCATTTGGGGACGTTCTCATTTGTAAAACTGGTATAAAAATAAAGTAAACAAAGTTTTTTTTGTTTTTTTTTTGTAAAAATGCAGAAAGTTTTCTGTGAGGGGTAGGGGTGGGTTTAGGTTAAAAAGTGTATAACTATCTGTATATAAAAACAATAGAAGTCTATGTAATGTCCCCATTTAGATAGCTAAGTAAACGTGTGAGTGTGTGTGTTGTGCTGAACATGAGCAGATATTGATTTATGCAAAACCTACCTCCCTTTCCTTTGTATTTTGATGAAATCTATCTTTAAAATTATATTGAAAACTGAAAATTAAATATTTTTTTCACCCTAAATTAATCAATCTTAAAAGATAATATATATTATTTAGATATATATCTTAAAGATTATATATATATATGTAGACCTGTTCTATCCTGTTCAACTCTAACCCTGTTCAAACACACCTTAACCAGCTACTTCAGATATTCAGGAGTACTTGATGATTAAGACAGGTGTGTTAGATCAGAGTTGAAGCTGAACTCTGCAGGTAGGTAGATCTCCAGGAACAGGATTGGGCAACCCTGGTGTAGAGCGTTCTGTTTTCTGATTTGTTGTCCACTGGCGCCCCCTGTAGTCTAAATGTTACACGAACACCCTCTTCCATTTCCAGTCTTGCCTTGTCCTTTAGTAATAGCAAAATAGATTTGACATTTGCTAATGATGAATGTACGTTGAAGGGCTGTTAACCTTTTCTGGAGCGGTGTAATTTCCACCACATATTGTCCACTGAAACGCAAAGGTAGTGTCTAATCTATAATGACATTGCAGCGCTAGAGGGCGCCATTTCTTCAGTGATATCAAAACGTCTTTGATGCGCAAAATAGGCTTACAATTTTATAAAGATGAATTTAACAAAAACATTTAACACACAAGGTGTAACACATGACTGACCTTTTACAAGGACTTTACAAAATAATAAAACAGAGCATAACACCTTTTAGCTGTGAACATGTTTACAGTAGGCTATTTTGTACTTTATGGCTTAAAAATATCACAAACACACTAAATGTAATGTGTAATTTTTACATGTGGATTTTTCTAAGCCATCCCAGTAAGAAAACAAATTATATACTGTTGTCTACAAATGAAAGCAAGCCACAAAAATAGACTATATATAGACAGACAAGTCAATGAAGACAAAAATAGACATTCATTTCCTTCCTCCATTTTTTCCTTGTCTCTTTCTTTGATGAATGATCCAAATTTGATCAAAATGATCCACAACTGTGATGAAACCGGAAGCTGAAAACATCCAAAGCCTGAGGAAGAGTGTTTCCCTCGTGTTTTACTGCTGTCCTCCCAAGGCTTATGAAAGATGGTAAAGATAGGAGTGACGCAAGAGAAAAATATGAGGCCAGCTCTGGGTTTCTGTTAGGGCCTGTTGAGATGCTATCAGAACGTCAGAACGGTGGCAAGTGTTTGCTGTTGACTTTGGTCTCATTTAAAGATGGGGCTGCTCACTTTCCTGGCTTTGTGAATGATTTTTTTTTTTTTTTTGAAACAGTCCCAGCCTTTTCCTCAGAGACTAATTTTCTCAGTGATGGCCATCCTTTTTGTTGTTGTTTGTTTTTCATGTATCTTGTTGTGGTTGTTTTCTCCAGCCACTGAAAACATGCTCTATTCACTGTCAACCATTATTCATTCTGTGAGCAACAGTGTCCATTAACATCAGGATACCAAGATAAAGCTAGTAGTATTCAGCTGGTCATGTGACTTCATCCATAAGGGGACCTGCTCCGTGTATTTTATTTTTTTGCTACTGAAATACGTGTGGTATTTAAAAATACAACTAATTTCTAAATGTGTATAACCTTTTTAACAAGGAAAAATACTAAGTGCACCTTTGAGAAAACTAAAAGAATTATTGTCAATGTCACCTTAAACCTCAAACACATGAGAGTTTATGCTATTTGCAGCTTAAATAAGGCACGTCTTTGAAACACACCATGTAATTAAAGAAAAACTGATATTTGAACAGAGAAAATGCTTAATATTTATTAAAAGGTTGCATTTAGTACAGTTTTTTATTGTTTCCAGGCAAAATATTTATTTCGCCACTGAAAGTAATTAAATGATAAAGGATTAAAACATTTCCTGTCTTATCACCGGGGTAACCGCCATATAATAGCTTAATATACTGATCTGAAAGCAAGGACGCTTTCAAACAATAAAGCCCCACCTTGAATCAATCCCCCTCCTTCTTGAATACACCAGGCAGCTCTCTATTTCATTTCTTTATTTCCCCCTTCATATTTAAAAGGCTAGATATGATCTCTCCGCTGCCTTTCATGGACGAATAAACGCTGCTTGTTATTCAAAGCTCGACGAGGAAGAGAAACCTTAACGCCAAGGGTTTTCACTCTGCTGGGAGCTAGTGAACGGGACACTTATTTTCCACGTATAGTCCCTGACTGGGATTTAGACACCGCGCCATGATTTGCTCGGATGCATTTCAGAAAAGCATCTGAATGCGTGCGTTTGTATGGAAATGCGCCTTCGGTAATAGACTGCGAGTTTACGGGGTCACCGCGGCGACCTCGCGGTAATAACACGTCCAATCATACGCGCGGAAATTGAGACTTGCGCGAGCTGCTTTTGTCTCTGTTTGACCAGGCTCGTTACGCTTTGTGCCGACGATTGGGACTCTTCTGTGTCACGTTCTCTCATCTATATCTTTTCCTTCATCTTTCATTTTGTGTCATTCTCTTTTGCCATTTCCCCCTCTACTGATCCTTTATCTGTTTCTTTCTTTTTCTCTGTCAGGGATGAAAAAAGCTCAGGATAGAGATAGAAGAGCAAATTTTGATTAGTATGCTATACTAGAAAGTCTGAAGGAGGTCCTTTGCTCACATGCTAGTTTGAAGTTCCTGTCCCAAGTTATATATAGGAATATGCCATGTTTTTTGACAATAGGCTAAGAAACTAAATATGATGTAGGCTATGTATTATCCAACACATGAACTTTTCTCTGTGTAAAACATCATGCAGCAGACATTTACAGATATACATAAATGTAGGCTACATGACTGAAACTGCAACAGCTAACAAGGTAGGCTATCTACATTCAGAAGAATTAATATTTAGCAACCAACTATCTTATTGAAATGGTCCTCTTTTCCACAACATTGAATGGTAATAATCCAAGATTATCCAAATAAAAAGAGTATAGTATAGTTGTATACATATAAAAGTTATAGTTATGACATAAAAAAATAATTATTTTTGGTCATGATTTATACACCCTCATGTTGTTCCAAACCTGTATGGCATTCTTTCTTCTTCTGAACACAAAAGATAATAATAATAGGCATAATAATAATAACAACCATTATTATTATTATTATTATTAAATATGTGCTACCAATATTTTTCAAAAGATTTTCTTTTAAAGAAATCACACATCACATGGGTTTGGAATGACATGAGGGTGAGTAAATGATGACACAATTTTCTTTCTTTTAATATATGTGACCCTGGACCACAAAACCAGTTATAAGGGCCTTTTTTTTTTAAATTGAGATTTATACATCAGAAAGCTGAATAAATACGCTATCCATTGATGTGTAGTTTGTTAAGATAGGATAATATTTGGCTGAGATACAATAATTTGAAAATCTGGAATCTGAGGGTGCAAAAAAAAAAATATATATATATATATATTTTGAGAAGTCCTTAGCAATGCATATTACTAATCAAAAATTAAGTTGAAATAGGCTATATTTACGGTAGGAAATTTACAAAATATCTTCATGAAATATGGTCTTTACTTAATACCCTAATGATTTTTGGCATAAAAGAAAAATGTAATTATTATTTAATTAAATTACAAATTATTAATTTAATAAAAAATGATTATTTAAATCATTTTGACCCATGCAATGTATTGTTGGCTATTGCTACAAATATACCTGTGTGACTTAAGACTGGTTTTGTGCTCCAGGGTTGCATATATCCCTTATATTGTTCTGCGTCTGTTATCATTTAAAGTAATTAACTTGTTGATGTTAAAAGCTTTTAGAGGATCCATAGTACAAACAGTGACATTTCCCATTGTCACCTTAGGCAGCTGTTGTTGTGGTTTGGGTCACGGTGATTCTTTTCTGCAAGCTCAAGTAAGAGGGTCCGTCAGACAACAAGAGATGTGGTAAAGGCTTGTGGCTTGTCTTCTAAATGTATTCTATTTTTCATCTTTTCTTTGGGGGGTTGTTGGTAGGTGGAGGAGGGTGTTGCAGCAGACGCAGGCCTATTCCGGAGATGAAAAAAGGTCCGGTAGTTTGAGAAGCAGCATCTGTCCCTTTTCTTCTCCTCTCTCCCCTTTAATTACACAACACAATAGCCATGAGATGTGCCCATAATCTGCACGCATAATCAGCCTCTCTTTTCTCTCTTCCGAGCCCCTATTCCGTACGCTAATTCAATATAAATGTAAATTAACACGCGAAAAGAATAAAGAAATCTCAATCTATTTACATGACTAATCACAATAAACGCGTTCCACATGAAATATGAATGAATGCATCGCGATTATGGGGAAAGTGGGTGGGTGTCAGGCAAGGAGTGCTTTAGGAGCTATTTAAACTTTTTCTTTTACAGTCTTCTCATACACTTTTGTGTGTTTGTGGGGTGATGCACAAGTGTCTGTAAATGGCAGGTTATGTGTGATATGAATTGTAATTGAGAGGGGACAATATGGTAGCGTTACCAGTTCTGCTACTTAATCCCAAATGAAAATGTCACCTTGCTACGGCTGCGTTTACACTTGGCATTAACATGCGATCACCGTGATCCGATCAAGCAGATCGGATCATTAGTCAATCAGAACACGGCGCGTTTACACTTGGCAACATCAACTTTTCTATCTGGATAACCGATCGGATCTGTCTTTCCCGCGCAATATTTAAATAAGTCTGCAAAGTCAACCTGAAGTGGTGTTTTTTTTTTTGAAAAGCATTTTCAGTCGCGGGACATTTTACAAATCAAAGATAGCCTAAGTGTAGGAGTCTCACTAGTCTCCACACGGGTGTTCTCCATCTTTTTTCTGACAGTTCGCCAGAGGGGGCGGCGTTTTGCGTGATGTCGACCTGCGAATGCAGACACGATGGCTGGATTGCGTTTACATTACACTGAGATCCGATCACAATGCGTCCTCGACTACCTCTGGAGCAGGACACGCTGATCGGATAACATTCCGATCAGAAGCGCGTTTACACTTGTCTTTTCAATGTGTATGTGGACAACATCCGGATACCGGTCGCATGTTAATGCCAAGTGTAAACGCAGCCTAAGATGCTAAGAAATAAACTTAATTTGTGGTTGCATTGATATCTGAGCTGCAACAAGAACAATTAATCACTGGATTTGCAGAAGTATTTAAGCTTCATGGATTCAAATCTTTAAAAGACATCAGAGTTAGAGGCAGTTGATAGTAAGATATATAAGTGTGACGTGACATGTGGCCAAGTATGGTGACCCATACTCGGAATTAGTGCTCTGCATTTATCCCATCCAAAGTGCACACACACAGCAGAACACACACACACCGTGATCACACACCCGGAGCAGAGGGCAGCCATTTTTTGCTGCGGCAGCGCCCGGGGAGCAGTTGGGGGTTCGGTGCCTTGCTCAAGGGCACCTCAGTTGTGGTATTGAAGGTGGGAGAGAGCGCTGTACATTCACTCCCCCCACCTACAATCCCTGCCGGTACGAGACTCGAACCCGCAACCTTTGGGTTACGAGTCCGACTCTCTAACCATTTGGCCATGACTTCCCCTGTGTCGTGTACATTACTTCTTATAATTTTGACTTTCTTATCACAATTTCTTTATACATTTTCAGCTCATTTCCATTTTTTTATAATAATAGCACTGTTATTATTGTATGAAGCAAAACAAATGGTAAATGATCATTTTATTTCTCAGCCAGACTGTCTCTTTCTGTCTGCCTGGATGATTAGTGGTCAGAATAAACTTAAAATTTGACCAGACTTTATAATGATAGTCAAAAGTTTGACTTCTGTGTGAAACCAAATAAGAACAAACTAAAAATTAAGATTTTGTGAAAAATAATAATAATAAAAGAAGCACACTGCAACCACACAAGAGTATTATCAGTGAAATGAAGAACACATTTTCAAATCAAAATGAAATAAGTCAGGGTAAATCCAATATAGAACATACAGATCTTAATACCGTTTTATATCATATAACTTTGGAATCAACTTGTTTTGTAATATCATTTAGGGAATTAAGCAGTGAAGTGGCAAAGGAATAAGGTCAGCTGAAACAAGTGAAGTATTTTTTATTTACTTTTTATTTCAAATGTCAGATTTTTAGTTTCAATCTCACAACATTTGTCTAGAAGCAGAAACTGTTCAAGCGGAGTACATAAATGCAATCAGCTCTGACTAGAGGTAGTTTGGCATTAAACAAGCTTTCAGGAGGAAGGAACGTAGAAAAGAATGTTAAAGCACTATAAGAGTATTACTATTATAATGATTGTGTCTTTCCAAAACAAGCAATATTCCTGATTTATATGCTTTTTGGACATGACAGGAATTCAATAATAACCAACCTGATCATGTTTGTTTTATGTTTCTAGGTGAGCACTGACATATATTTCACATGAATGAAACATTAAACCCAATTTATTTATTATAAACTGCTAATGTTCCATATCATTTGTCTGTTTTATGCGGTACAATAAGTTGCAGTGATTAAATTAACATAATTCATGAAGGTTGACTAAATGATTGATTGTGCATTGAATATTATCATCACAGATTATTAAGATGGAGTACACTTTGCATAGTTTTGTCTTGTTGTTACACTGATGTCATACAAAAATGATGTTTTTCTATTTGTGTTTAAGCCCTCTGCCTACTTTTTCTCATAAACAATGCAGAAAAATATGAGAAGGAATTGATGCCCTGAAGCAAAATGGATGATGTCAGATTCGAAATAAATAAATAACTGCCCAAAGATCACAGCAGAGCCTGTGCTTACACAAACACTGCGTTCCAGCAAACGCAACATCAATTCTGTTTGGGTTTGTCTGTACTACTAGCCACAGAAATGCACTTCAAACCTCAACAGTCACAGCTTTTCTTCCATAGTGGAGAGGATAGGGCTATCAGACTCCAAAATAAACTTATCAAATTCATACACTAGATAGAACACAGTAAAAGTGTATAGTGTATACACAATTATTGTCTCGTCAATACACAGATATGGGACACTGATATGCATTATATAAGTGAAATTAAACCTGCAAGGAGACTGACAGAGTCAGAGTAACTTTAATTGTACATGTTTATGAGTATGATGAGTATTTATGAATGTTGCCATACTCCAAACATGTGGCCAGTCTATATTCCAAAGACTGAATTATATCAGGCTATGCATTCAAAGTGCATGCACAAATCAGCAAAAGTGAAATAATAATAAAAATAGATAAAAAGGTCATCAACATTTCATGCAAATTCATCTGAGCTGTGTCTTGTCTTGCTCACAGGTATTTCTGATGACAATGCATTGGAGGAAAGCCGCAGACAGAATGCCCTCACTGGCGCTGCCCCATACAACCGTTACCTCCGAAATGTGGCCCAGAACCCTTCAGAGGAGGAGGAGGAGGACAGAGGCCTGCAGAATCTTGCCAGAGGTTTGTGTCCTAGCTGGATCCTGTGCCTGTAGGATAGAGACCAGGATCAGAGGAGCAGAGCAGTTTCATGCAGTGTTGATTATCATCACAATTAAAAGAACCAAAGACTTAAACTACTTCAGTCTGTGTGCATTGCATTTATTTAATACACGAGTTTCACAATTTGAGTTGAATTACTGAAATAAATGAACTTTTCCACGACATTCTAATTTATTGAGATGCACCTGTATATTCAGTTTTGTATTTTTCAAGGTTGCATGAGTGAGTCAGATATTAAAGATTTGTCAGCGTGGCGGAGGTGGCGTCTGCTTGCTCATGAAATTTATTTCAGCAGGCAACTTTTATAACTAATACAACTTGCTTTTGACTGGTTCAAGCACTCAACAGTATCTGGAAATGAATTTCCATTAAGGGTTCCAACAAAGAAATTCCAGTGGAGTTAATGGTTTAATGTGATTGAATTCTTCTCTTCTGTGAGCCACAGTTAATGTCTATAACAATTAGAAGGATGTTTTCAAATATTAATCAAGTTGTTTTGGTTCTTTTTTGTTGTATTAATGAACGTCAAAGCTCATCAAATTTCCTCATAGTAAATCACTTTCATTTTTGTAGGGATTTTTGACACCAGGAGAAAGAAACTATTGCTGAAGGAATCAGACACCAAAAAGAAGCGGATGCCAAGAATGGCTCCTCGGATTGGAGTGTGGTTCTAACATTATTTGCAATATATATACTGTATATATATATATATATATATATATATATATATATATATACACACACATACATTTTTGTGTTGTTTTTACTGTTCATTTTCTAAAAACTGAGGAGATATATAAAGACATGCATATTAGATAGTCACACATGCTCAAATTATTCTTTTTAAATAGAGTACATAGAAAGTTTATTTTTTTATGTTCTGCTTTGACATGTTGCATTCAAAGTCATGCATCACCATGCATGTAATGCAAATGATCTTTCATTGTCCTGATTTAATGTGTAAAAAGCAATCACACTGTCTTCTGTACTTACTTAATTCATGGTTTTAAGCATGTTGTAGGACATTCCCCTGCACTGTTGTATTATTGAAAACAGACAATTCGAGAGAGAGCCTAAACACATCACTCATAGGATAATTAAACCCAACTGAAATACATTTATTCATGTTTTAAAACACTAAACAGACCTCTTCATTAATTTGTAAAATTATGTTTAGATTACTCACATGTCTGTTTTCAGCACTTTGATATAATTTTAATGAAGAAAATAATTCATTATAAACATAAAAGTGAGGCATTTTTAAGTTTGTGTGTTTGCCGTCCATTTGGTGCTTTATACATTTTGTATTAAATGATGGAGCACAAACTCAGGATTGACATGATATGTAAAAGATGCTTAAAAGCATAACTATAGAGGTGACAAATAAGAGACAGGTTGATGAGGGAACATAGAACTGGTCGGACTAGTGCACCAAGAATGGAAAGAGAGAAAGACAAGGGAGAAAAAGGTGAATTATTCATTCACCAATGTGAAAGAACATGTTTTCACCAGTCTGCCTTTTGATCCAGTCTTAAGTACTGTATCAATATTTCAGAGAAAACTGCAGATATGGTATGTCCTTTCAGAACTGGCAGCATGGCTTTAATTTTACTCCGACTACTGCATGTATGCGTTTCGTTTTGTTTTCGATATAAAACAGAGACCCAAATCTGTGGAAAATCGTAGTTCCTATATTTAAAAGGGAAATAGAAATGAAGAGCTACAAAGACACATTTTTAGTAATACACATTAAAACGTTTCTACGCTGATGTGTTATAGTCAATTTTTGCTGATGCTTTATCAATATGTATTATTTCTTAATAAAAATGTATGCTGTTAATTGGTAGTGGTGTGAACTGAGGCAGTTTTAATCAAGTACTGTTATTTTCAAAGCCATGAATGTCTGTTCATGCTGTACAGCAATAACTAATAAATTGTGTTATTGGGGAAAAACACCATTTTTTTAAAACCATACTAGAAAATGGCTTGTTTACTTACAGCTGTGAAGGTTTTTCTTTGTAATATTGACAAAAAGGCTTATTTCTGAAGCGTGTATATCTAGTTATTTCTGCCTTTTTTAAACATACACTCTAAAAAATGCTGGGTTGTTTCAACCCAACCTTGAGTCAAAAATGGACTAACCCAACTTTTGGGTTAAAAATTTAATTAAAAAATGTAACCCAACGGTTGGGTTAGTCCATTTTTGACTCAAGGTTGGGTTGAAACACCCCAGCATTTTTTAGAGTGTACACCAATAAAGCCTGAAAGTTGCACATTTTGTATGTTCTGTGAATATGTTATCACTAATTTGTAAAAACAACAACAACAACAAACAAACAAACAAAAATAAATTTTTTGTGTATTTCATATAATTGCCAATGCGGCTTGTGGAGTACAGCATTACTCATGGCAAGGTATGTGCACGTGACCTGTAGAGTAATTTGGGTCTTGTTTGGTTGTCTGAAGTCTCACAGGGCTTAATTAGATAGCACAGCGGCAGTCATATCGGTGGCTCACCTTCTCTCCATTGCTTTCAATTTGCAAGCTGTCTCAACTCAGATTAATATAGATCCTGATAGGAAGGAACGCTTCAGAATCAGGTGGTTCTTGCTGATTGAGAAAAGAAAATGTCAGTGGTGTCTTCCTAAAATCAAATGTACTGTTTATAAATGTGGCATGTATGGATCTTTGAAGAAGGTGTCATATTTTACAGTAATACTCCAAATCCTTGCTATCCTGCTGCTTACACTTGGTTCAGTTATTAGCATTATCTCTGATTTTTAATTTCTACAGGTTTGTCAAACAAACAGGGCAAATCAAATTCATGCCTCAGAGGTGAAACTATCATATATAACATTGCAAAGAGTTTGGCCAATGAGCTCAGAAACACTGATAATGCTATGACTGATCTTATTAATAGTTTCATACTGCTGCCGTTGCTAACTGTGGTTTTGAAGTCGCAGTTAGCATATCAGTAGTAAATGAAGGCTGTGTTTGAGAGGTCTGTGAAGTAACACTAGGTGGAGATGTTTGTCAGTACAGCAAAGAAGGAAAAACCAAAGTGGTTGTTATCTTTTAGAATGATCTGTAATCCTGTATTAATTTCACCTAAAATATGATCTAGATATTTTAGATTGATTTAGGTAATAAAAAGAATAAGAGGGATGCAATAATAAGTTAGGACTTAACTTGAGTATATCTGTCTATCTATCTATCTATCTATCTATCTGTCTGTCTGTCTGTCTGTCTGTCTGTCTATCTATCTAAACTTTTAAACAAAGTATTGCCAAGCCAACATTCAAAGTCTCGACAAACTTGTTTTTCTAGTTTAAATTTATTCGAATCAATTCATTTTAAATTTAAATAGCAATTTTGCTTCGTGCTTGCTTCCTCAAATCAAATTCAATTCAGATTCAGGAACTGGAACTGTAAGCTTGTTCACGAAGCATCATTTTGCTGATATTTATTCAGTGTTATTTGTGGTGTTCAGTATTTTACAGTTGTTGAAATAGTACTGACATGATTCTTTTATTTATTTAAGGTTAGGGTTATATGGCTAGGGTTAACGATTTATTAATTTTTCATATGATGTTTATTTTGTGAGTTTGTGATCACTGACAATACTTAACATGAGGCACTCCTGTGGTTTCCTCTCGAATGATTGTTTCATGTTTTACAGCTGAACAGCTTCTGCGAGGAAGAATATTTTCTCTAGACTCTGAATTCATACTTACTGTACTTTCATTAAACACTGCCTCACATAACTTACTGCTTTATATTAACTCTCTTGAATGCATGATTCTGGTTGGTCAACTGCAGCATTTAAGACCATAGTACTGCAGATAATTAAAATATGAATAAAAGTTTTCACAAATGTTTTCTGTACACTATAGACAAATATTCTGCTCCACTCAAAGTATACCAACAGGCATTTGGCACAATCTGAAAACTGATTTAAAATGATGTCCTGTTGTATACTGGGTGATGACTAAGACTGTCTTGGTCAGCGGATAGCAATCACTGCCGTAGGCTTACAATGTTAAAAAAAACATTGTCTTTGTGAGATGGAGAATGATGGAAAGATAGGTTCAGAGAGTAGTCTGCCCCCTCACCACCCACACATCGACCCATCTCAGGTAAACAATGCTCTAACACAGCTCCCCTGTGAGATCTTTCTCTCTTACTCCTCTTTCCTTCCATCTCCTCCTGTCCTCCTGAGTCGTTTCTCTTTTCTTTCCCTTACGTCTCTTTACTCCCCACCTTTCCTCTGTCTCTGCCTGCGGACAATATGCTTCTACATTAGCCCCAATTGGTTTCAAACAGCTCCAGAGATCTCTTTAGCATAGAGACTTCACACGGTGATTGCCATGTGAAACTGCTTTTATTACCCTTCTATCTCTCTCTGATTAGCTCACTCCTACTGTAACAGGTCTGGACTACAGTGTTCTGTACCAGAGTCTAGATACTTCCTTGTACCTGCCATGAATATATGTTCATATAGATTTCACTGGATGCACACATTTTTCTTTTACCCAAGATTAAAGGGATAATTCAGCCAAAAATTACAATTCTGTCATCATTTACTCACCCTCAAACCATATTTACTCAAGTTGTTCTTTTTTCTTCTTCTGTTGAACACAAATAAAGATATTTTGAAGAATGTTGGTAATCAAACAGTTGCTGGTAGCCATTGACGGAATACTATGGAAGTTACTGGCTACTGGCGTCTGTTTTCTTTTGTCTTCAAAGAAAGAAGAAAGAAACTCATACAGGTTTGAACAACTTGAGGGTAAGCAAATGACGACATAATTTTCATTTTGGAGTGAACAATCACTTTAGTAACCAATTTGAAAGGTCACACTTTACTGTAAGGTCCAATTCTCGCTATTAACAAACCATAATCTATGACTTTTGTCTCAATAAACTCCTAATTTGCTGCTTATTAATAGTTAGGAAGGTAGTTGTTAAGTTTAGGTAGTAGATAGGATTAGGGATGTAGAATATGGTCATGCAGAATATGTGCTTTATAAGTACTAATGAACACCTAATATGTTAATAATAGGCATGCTAATAAGCAACTAGTGAGAACTGGTCCCTATACTAAAGTGTTACCGAATTAAAAGACTATTTGTGTACCTACTATATTGTCTTTGAAAAACAGATGAGAAAATCATCTGTTCGATGAATATGGTAACGTTAGCTGCAGTATTATTTGTAGAAAGAAAGAAAGAGAGAAAGAAATAAAGACAAAGAAAGAAAGAAAGAAAGAAAGAAAGAAAGACAAAGAAAGAATGGCATCAATTTAAGATGCAGTGTGTTGAGAAGGGTCTAGCTGCTGCCTCGCACTTGCACTCTCAGACTTGCATTCTCAGACACTTGCGCTTCCGCTAGCGACGTCACTTGCAGGCTTTATTTTTTATTTTGTTCTATTTTTTATGGCATAATGTGGCATAATGGACTAAAAAGGCCAAACTCAGTATGCGCCTCTACATTATTAATATACATAACTAATATGTACAGGCACAAAATGTTGAGCGATTCAAACAAAAAAGTAATCAATAAATATAACAAAATAAAAAAATAAAAGACTGCAAGTGACGTCGCTAGCGGAAGCGCAAGTGTCTGAGAATGCAAGTCTGAGAGTGCAAGTGCGAGGCAGCAGCTAGACCCTCTTGAGTGTGTTTGCATGCAGTCTATATA